TGAAATCTGTAGAGGGTGGCATTATCCTCCTAACTCCCTACCCAGCATCACCTAATAAAGACACCTAAGCCCGATTACAGGGAAAAAGAAAGCTCTTGATTCTATTCCACTGGTTTTTGTTTTTTATTATTCTAGATCAGGGGTCTCCAACCTTAGCTAGTTGAAGACTTGTGGACTTCAACTCCCACAATTCCCTGGGCTGACTGTGAGTTGAAGTCCACAAGTCTTAAAGTTAGTGAGTTTGGAGGCCCCATTCTAGATCAAGGATGTCCAACCTTGGCAACTTTAAGTCTTGTGGACTTCAACTCCCAGAATTCTCCAGCGAAATGATGATCACATGACCTTTAGATATTGCAACTATTGTACATACTTGCTGGTTGCTAAGTGCCTGAATTTTGATCATGTGATCATGTGGACACAATAGTCATAAGTGTGAATACAGGTCAAAACTTACTTTTTTCAGTACTGTTATAACTTCCAGTAGAAATGAAGTTCTATCTTGGTTACAGATCTCACCCCAAGGACGAACTGATTGTATAATCACAGACATCTACTTATCTGTTTTGTTTACCTACCTGCCATCCATCCATCCATCCATCCTTCCGTCCATCCATCCATCCATCTACCCATTATCCATCCAGCACTTACATTCCCTCTTTCCCTCTTTGTTACTTACTATTTCCAGTATAATTTAAATTATTATCCCTCTTATTTTAATACCCTTCAACTGCCTAGAGTCCATAAAAATTAGAGCCATAGATAAATTGTAAGAATACATAAATAAGTCTAGTGTGCCAAACAAACAGGCTTGAAACCTAGAGAAAAGAATTTGCTCCACGTTGCTCTTTGCTTAGGTGTAAACTGTGTGTTGCAGACTCATAAACAACCACGTATTGTTTTCGATGTGTTAAGATGGAGAGATAATGTTTATTTCAGTCAGTGACCAGATAAAACAGAATGAATATAAACTAAATTCAGTAAAGAAAGAAACCAAACTGTCTACATAGCCCTCAGAAAAGGGTTGTGTTGAGATGTGCACTTAGGCACCAAGGAAAAGGATCCCACCCAGCTGGTTTTACAGATCCATATCTCTGGAGAGATATATCCATATCTCTACAGATCCAACTCCCTGACCTTTGACCTACCAAAGATCAAGTCCAATGTTCCATTTCTTTCAGCGAACCATCAAAAAACTGGGGGCGAGCCAAAAAGTTGGCTGTCAGTGCAACATTGCTGACAGCCATTTCTCCATTACAGAGATACACTATGTGTCTTCATTCAACTAGATGTTGGCTTCATTGAACAGAACAAAACAGAACAGAACAATAGAGTTGGAAGGGACTTTGGAGGTCTTCTAGCCCAACCCCTGCTCAAGCAGGAGACCTTATAACATTTTAGACACATGGCTGTCCAGTTTCTTCTTAAAAGCCTCCAATTGATGGAGCATCTACAACTTCTGAAAGTAAGCCGTTTCACTGGTTGGTTGTTCTAACTCTCAGGAAATTCCTCCCTAGTTCTAGGTTGCTCTTCTCCCAGGTAAGTTACCATCCATTGCTTCTTGTCTTGCCTTCAGGTGCTTTGGAAAATACGTTGAACCCACCCTTCTTTGTGGCAACCCCTCAAATATTGGAACACTGCTATTGGGTCACCATAGTCCTTCTTTTCTCTAGACTAGCCTTCCAAAGAAGGAAAAAGTGCTGAAGCACACATCTGATATAGTGGCAACACAAATGTGAACCATTTGTATACATTCAACATCCTCATTAAGGTTTTTATGTCATCTCCCTGGTTTTCCTCCCAAGACACTATTTACATCCTCGGGATTCATCCATAGCCATGATTCATCTCTACAGGTAACTTTCAAGCTCATCCAATCTATTCTGATATCCACCTGAGCATTTGAAGGATGGGACAATTAGATTTTAAGCAGCAGTGGGAGATCCATTCACACCCTGTCTTTCTTTAAGGACACCATAACAAACTTTTGAAAGAGTGCCGTGCCAACCATCTCATGTGCCATTTTCTCATTCTTCTTGAAGGCAGCAAAATTTCAATGCTTTGCAAAATTGCTTTCAAAGGAGACAAGCAGGTCAGTGAAATGTCTAATGTGATGGATGTGAGGCTACAATATAATCCTTTATATTAGTTGTCGTCAGGGGATGTGCATACGTCTTCTTCCTTTCACTACATAACCATCTCTCCTGACAGTTTTCTGGTTCTTAAGCTTCTACAGTATTCCAGTATTTCTCAACCTTAGAATTTTAAGCCGTGTGGACTTCAACTCCCAGAATTCTCCAGCCAGCAACCTGAGGATTAAAACCCATATAGCTTAAAGTTGAGAAACACTGTTCAATTCAATTCAAGGAATAAGGGGATATTTTTTTAAAGGAAAGTTTAAACTGTTAGTATATTTTCTTGACTTTCAGATTTTTTGCAAGGTAATAATGGGTCCAAGGTTAACAGCTTCAAACAAGACTGAAAATAGAGCAATGTTTCTAGTTCAAAGCTAGTTCAAGATAAGCCAACAATGTTGATTAGCAACAGAGGTTTAAAGGGTGAGGCAGAAAATAGATGTCAGATCTAGCCAGGATGCCATGACTTTTAGAGATATATAGCAAACTAGTTGGGCTGCCAACAAACTTCAAGTTCATTATGGTCAGCGAGCAACACTTTGTGCAAATCTACAATTATAAAGTATCAAAAGAAAATTAAGAAACGAAGGATAAAGTAAAATAGATCCATCCAATGCATAAAAGGGATCTAAGTGCAAACCTAAGATACTAAAAAGAGAATGGGTTGTCAATAAAAATGTTCTCAGGGTATGAAAACTTTAGAAGCTAAAAGATAGAAGCTGAGGTTGTGGAAACTCCAATTCTTTCTCTGAGCAGAGCCAGCACTGATCAATTCTGATGATTAGATCTTGGTAACTTTGGACAATGATGTCTAGTAGATGTCTAAGATGTCTTCTTCCCAAGCAGCTGAGTAATTCCTCCATTTTTAACCATTGGGCTTTCTGCTCTACAATGACAATGTTTCTACAGGACAGATGGTCAAAACTTTGGAGTTGAGTTCAAATGTCAAGACTATCCAGAATTAGGAGCAATGGCACTTTTTCAAGCCTCACCAATAGGTCTAGTCGATGCTCAGGTTTACCTGCTATCTCACCTTGTCCGCAAGATCCAACTAAGATTACAGGTACCAACTACGAAGGCTGCCTTATGTCCTGAGTAGATGTCCCAATGGAAGAACATCTGTTTTTTGTTGTACACTTTGTCCATTACAGCACATTTTGAAAACTGCAAAGATTTATTAATTGCACCCGGCAGCTGTTGCTCCTCTTAATTTAACTTGTCTCCCATCTTTTTAATGCGCATAATCCTCCTTTTAATGGGTCTCAATGTGTTAATTGGTTCCTCTTTGTACTTTTCACAGGTGATCTGAGGCCAGTTTCTATGTCAACAGAATACAGCTGGATAGGAGATTCAAAAGAGCCAAACATGTACAAGAGGGGTAGTCGTGGTGAGTGTGTTTCTCGCCCAATACAGTCAAATAAAAGACATGAAAAGGACTCTTATTTTCTTCAAAGTAGCCCATCATTTCTGGTGAAGCAAACAATCCAAGTTCATCATGTCATTTTTCTTGTGCATTTATCAGCATGGTGTTGTATCATTACAAACCATCTTTTAGATGCCAGGACCATCTCAATACTCTAGTTTTGATCCAACTCAACATGGTAACTTGAAAGGCTATTTCCACAATAAAGGAGAATATTTGTAGCTCAGGGTTGAAATGAGAGGTCCTTGAGCTTGGTTGTTTTAACAGATTAACAGATTAACAGAGTTAGAAGGCACTTTGTAGGTTATCTAGTCCAACCCTCACCTAAGCAGGAGACCCTACACCATATCTGACAGAAGGCTGTCCAGTCTCTTCTTGAAAGCCTCCAGTGATGAAGCTCTCACAATTTCTGAAGGCAAGCTGTTCCACTGGTTGATTCCTCTCACTGTCAGAAAATTACTCCTTGAATTTCTCCTTGTTCAGTTACCATCCATTATTCCTTGTCTGGCCTTCAGATGCTTTGGAAAATAGCTTGACCCCTTCCTCTTCTCTGTGGCAGCCCTTCAAATATTGGAAGACTGCTCTCGTGTCTCCCCTGGTCCTTCTCTTCACTAGAGCAGCCATGCCCATGTTTTCCTGTAGATATTTCATTACCCAAACTAGGTAACATGATGCTACCTACTTTGCATAATGAAACATTTGCAAGAAAACAACCAAGCACAGAGAGCACCCAGGAGCCCTCAGGCTATTTTTCAGCTAGAGGAATAAAGGGATGGCTGTATATTTCTGAGTTGTATGTAATTGGTTTTATTGACCTGCCGGCAAATTTCTGCAAATGAAAATCACATTTCTTTTTCTTCACATTTATTTTCATACATGTGTACATTTTGCATTTCTCCTTCCACAATATGCACATTTTTGTAAGCAATTTCCTAAAATATATGGAAAGGTAGATTCCACAGATGTTTTTAGACATGCACAGAATCTGATGAATATGTGGATTGTGAAATAAATCTTCTTCCAGGGGAGACTGAAAAATGGGTGTTTGATGAATTTGCTTAAAATAAGAGTCCTGACATATTTCTCTGACATCCCTAGCTCTTAAACACTGACAAAGAAATGAGACAAGGTAACTAATGAAAAATGTCCAATATTCTATTCTCTCCTGCATGTTATTGCTTCTGTATATACCACTTCTAATCTAATTTTCTTGAACTTCTTTAGAAGTTGTGTCCATCATCTTAAATTCATGATAGCCTTTAGTTGGGGTGAAGTTCAGTAGTGGTTCATGGATGAAATTATGAAGTTTTGGAGACGTTCAGTAATAAGCAATCAAGACTTTCAGTAATAAGCAATCAATCTATCTATCCTGCTGTCATTTCTCCAAGAAAAGTTCTGAAGTCATATTTTGTAATCATTATGCTCTCAGGATTCCAGCAATCACTCTAATTAAATCATGATTCTCGAGCCAAACTTCAAAAAACTTCAATTCATTAGAGGCGACATACTGGCACCGCCCTGTATGAAGCCAACTCTGGCATACATAATTTACAATCACCTGTGACCCTGTTTCCCCCCCTGGCTGTCTCATAAACCAGATTCTCCAATTGAGCATGTTCACAGACTGGGTGTCATCATTCACATTCTCCAATTAAATATATTCACAGGCAAAGCTCTGGTATTTTAGTTGCAATCTTTTAAAGATAAGAGTTGGAATGTACTTTTGCTTTCAAACTGCTGCAGTGCTCTTCCAGATTTTCTTCCTTCCCCCCCCCCCCTTTCTTTTTATGGAGACTACTAAAAAGGCATAGGAATGTTTTATGAGTTGACATATGTGCTAAAAAGTTAGAGTTTTTTAAATGGATTGGGTTGCTCAAAACATACAGGTCTAGATGTGATGCTCCCTTGAGCAAACTCTAGTGATTTATCCACCATCTGACACCGATTTTACTAAGGTTTCTTCATCATATTTAAGCCCCCTCTCCACTTCTTACCACACCTAAAATCTGCCCAGGAAATTGGCATTGGCTCTGCCTGTTTTTGAAATATAGCTTTCAATGTGTGCTCCAAAGCATGTGTTGATTCCCAAGCCAACTTAAATTGGGTTCCTATGCCAAAAAACCATGGCTAGTTTGAACTATGGTGTCCTGGAGACAATCCATCTAGCACCATGACTCATGAAGCCTGCTTGCTTCTATCCAGTTTGAGCTTCTGATCTCTTCGTAGACACTGCACTAGAAAAGAGAACTTACAAGTCCAGGGGGAAGGAGGCCAGTTAGCACATTTTTCTCTGAATCAGCATAAGGACAAAGATGTGGATCTCCTCTTTACTTCTCACTTTCCCCTTTTCTCCTTCCTCCCTCTGACAAAAGATTCTGAGAACTCACTCCTACGATATCTGAGTGATGACAAGATCTTAGTCATCCAAGAAGAACCATTGACCCAAAAAGATAACAAGCGTGATACAGGCCGGCGGTCCAGGAAGAAGGGCAAGAACAGTGGAAGTCCTAACTATCCTGTTAGCTCCTCCGTGATGACCTCATCTACTAATGTACGGCTTGAACCCGGACAACAGGATGTCCTAAATTTCTCCTTAGCTGAAAGCAACACCGTCCCCCTCTATCACGTAAGCTCTTTGATGCTTTTCCTTAAAACTAAGAAAAACATTCTGTCTTCTTAATGTTGACCTTGAGTTTCAGGGACTGCTATTTGATCCTATTCTACTTGTTGTTAGCTTTGGAAGCCATATTGAGATCCGATGCTTCCACACTGCCACAATTGAGTTTGGGAAAGTGGGAGAGGGGAATTCATTGGAGTAATTCTAGTTAGACATAATAACATTCTTTTTCTGATTCAAGGTCATGTTGTTTTGCGCATAAGTGAAAGGAAGTCTTAACTTGGGACGTATGGTGACTGGGCCATGTGATGTGATGATGGGTGCAGGGGATGGATTTTGTACTTTTTACTTATCATAAGGAAGCCCGGAACTTTCAGATTCAGGATTCCACAGTTGTGCCAGTTACTATCCAAATAAAAGGAACCTTTGAGAAGATGTCTGTCTTGGAGTTATTGGCTGGAATGGAGGTTTGCTGGAATGCTGACACTTGGTTTTGTTTTGTTTTGTTTCAAGACTACTTGGGCACTGATAACCTCTGTGACAAAACTGAGATTAGGAAGGTAGAAAGCATTTGTTATTATCATTAGGATTACTAATACCACTACTCCTATTTGTTACAGTTGTCCTAACTGTCTGACATACAGTTGGGTCCTTGACATACAGTTGGATCCTTAAAACAAATTGTGTTCCTTTACGAATTGCTTTCCAAATGTTGTGCACCTCTCCTCTTTTAATACTAAATGCGTATCCTATGACTTCATGCCAACCTGAAATTTGCTGAACTGAATGCCAGTTCAACCACCATTGTTTGTGTGTGTTTTATATCAATTTCAGGTAGGTGTTTTCACTGATTTTTTTCACGAGATCAAGGTTTGCTTTAGTTTAAGCGGCTGTATGCTATTTCTCGAGAGGAAGATTACATTATGGTCTCAGATAATTTACTTTTAAAACGAGAAGTTTGTTTGGATTAATTGAGAACGAAGTAAATTAGGAGGGAAACTGAGTATTGAATCTGAAGCAAATACTTGGAAATATGCTAAATGTTTGCAATAAGTAGCAAATATCTATAGCTTGAGTGTAGGATGAGGGCGAAGGTTCATTCTCAGGGCTTGTGGGTTGGTTTCAGAACATTTTGTTACCAGGTTAAGTAACATCTTTGCAGTCACTTTTTCCAGGATTTCTTCTTCTTCTTTTTTCATTTTATTTACAGTATATATTTTTCTTTTACATAAAATAAGTGCTTAATGAACAGCGCACTGTCTGTGTCAGTTGCTTACGTAATAATACTTTTTTGAATCCTAATTTCTAACTCTGTTAGAAATCATTGATAAAACAAGCCGCATGTTCGATAATAGCGATAGCACTTAGACTTATATACCATTTTATAGTGCTTTACAGCCCTCTCTAAGCAGTTTACAGAATCAGCATATTGGCCCCAACAATTTGGGTCCTCATTTTGCCCACTTCGGAAGGATGGAAGGCTGAGTCAACCTTGTGCCTGTTGGGATTTGAACTGCCAAATTGTAGGCAACTGGCTGTGGCAGAAGTAGCTTGCAGTACTGCACTCTAACCACTGCACCACAGAGGCTCCTATAATAATAATACCCTGTATCTTCCTTTTCTTTTATCCTCTATGTTAGTCTGTCCATTTCTGCACTGTCTAGTTTTAATTATATCTTCTGCTGTGCGTGTTTCCTTGTTCTTCCAGTATTGTGTTTATACAATTCTTGCTGCTGTCAAGACATGTAATATCAAATATACATTCCCTTTATCATATTTTTCTGGCATTATGCCTAGCAAAAATAATTCAAAGATTTCAAAGCATTGTTAAACAAATGACCGTAAGTCAAGAGCTACCTGTAAATTGGCACTGATACAGTTTAAGCAGAACTGTGACGGTGAGTTGGCTGTTTACCTAGATGGCAGCTACTAAGGGAAATGTCAGCTTAAAAGGTCTCTCTATTCCAGAGGAATTTCTTTTCTTTTTTTTTTTCCCCTTGGTTTTTGTTCACTGTTTGGAAATTACTGTTTTCATTACAGAGCCAGTAAGATATGTACTCCAGGTAACCAAACCTGGAGGATAACATAATGGATAAATGCACCAAGGGAATAAAATCTAGCTGTGGGTTTTTATAAGTGGCCATTGAGTGCATTTGGAAAATCAGAGCATTTCGCTTATATGGGAAGAAAGTCTAAAATAGCAATTTAGCTAGGCACGCTGCACAGAATGTCTAAAATCCATTTTTACTGTGAATTCCATGGAGCTACGATATTGTAGTTTGATACGCCCTCCAACCAATAGCCATAACCAAGTTAGATCTATGTGGATGCAGCTCTGGAGTACATTTTCTTTTTATAATGTGCGCCAATGGAACAAGCAGATGTATTTCCCCAGATTAATGAGTGAAAATTTTCCATGCCAATCTTCCGCCATTTTTCATTTCTATCTGCTCTGATTAGAGCCCGTTGTGTTTCTTTAAACTGCTTCCTATCAACTTGATGAAAACATGTGTCAATTTCGATTCCAGAGCTTCCCAAGATACATACAACAGACAGACAGACATACACCACTATAGACAGGCATAATCTGAGTTGTATCCTTCAAAGGACACAACTCAGTTCATTTAGTGACTGTTGAAAGTTACAATGGCACTGATAAAAGTGACTTATAACCAATTCTTACACTTACAACCAATGCAGCATCCCCAGCACATGATCAAAATTCAGACATTTGGCAACTGACTTGTATTTATGACAGTTGCAGCATCCCGAGGTCATGTGATCAGCTTTTGCGACCTTCTGACAAGCAAAGTCAATGGGGAAGCCAGATTTACTTCACAACTGTATTACTAACAATTGCAATGATTCACTTAACAGCTGTGGAAGGAAAGGTCATAAAATGGGGCAAAATTCACTTAATCACTGTCTTGCTTAGCAACAGAAATGTTGGGCTCCATTGTGGGTCATAAGTCTGTAAAGATTTGGTGGTTGCTCTGATTTGAGCACTCAAGAAAGATGGTCAACAGAGCATGGTCAGAGGATTGGAAATCAAAGTTGCACTAGGAAAAAAAACTGAGAAAGCAGGGAACTTCCACCTGCATTTCATTTCATGAGCCTGAAGTCTACAGAGTAGTCTTTCTATAGAAAGCCAAATGAGTTGCTGAATGTCCAGTCATAGGTAAAGGTAAAGATTCCCCTCACACCTACAGGCTAGTCATTTCCGGCTCTAGTGGGTGGTGCTCATCTCCGTTACAAAGCCGAAGAGCCAGCGCTGTCCGAAGACGTCTCCATGGTCATGTGGCCGGCAGGACTAAACGCGGAAGGCGCACGGAACTCTGTTATCTTCCCACCCAAGTGGTCCCTATTTTTCTACTTGCATTTTTACACACTTTCGAACTGCTAGGTTGGCAGAAGCTGGAACAAGTAACAGGAGCTCACTCCATTAGGCAGTGCTAGGGATTCAAACCGCTGAACTTCTTGTGGTTCGCCGGCAGCAGTTGCGGATGGCTGAGGTCTCAGAGAATGAGGACTCAAATAAGGGGCCTGCGTGTGATGTAGGGATGGGGCCAGGACCACCAGGGAGTGGAGTGCTGCCTTCGGAGATTGTGGAGGCTGGCAGCAGTGATGAAGAGGTCCCCGAGGAGCCTGTGCCCAGTGCGCATATGCGCAGGGCTGCTTGTAGGAAAGAGCAGCTGCAGCTGCATGGGTGACTCAGGAGTAAGGCTGCAAAGTAATGGCCCCTCCCTTAAGGGATAAAAGCCAGCCTGAGAGACCGGGATTCTTTGCAGGAAGCAAAGAAGTTTTTGCACTTCAAGCCTTGTGGAAGTTCGGACTATCTTGGTTTGTGTTGAAGACTTTTTGTTTGGAATATTTCTTGGCAACATAATCTTTTGGTAGTCTTGTATAACCTTGGCAAGGCTCGTTCTTATCAGACACAATTAGTTTTAATAGCCTTTTAACCGTAAATTAACGGAATTCGCAGAGAAGCATTAAAAGGTTTTGCTTTTATCTCTATTTTATCTCTATCACACTCTATTTGGTGTTTGTTTACTTGGAACAAGGTTTGGGTCAGAACAGAACTGCCAATCTTTCTGACCGATAAGCTCAGCGTCTTAGCCATTGAGCCCCCACATCCCATAGGAAGATATATAAATGACACCATTAAAAAGGTATCAGGGTTTGAATTACCACACCAGCAATGGACTATCCCCAATAGGATTCACACTTCATACAACATCTGCCATGATTCAGGGTGTAAATGGGGCATAACATCATCCACCCTCAGTGTGGCTGCAGGATCCATGGTGGCACCGTGGTTAGAATGCACATTGCAGGCTAACTCTGCTCACTGCCAGGAGTTCAACCCTGACCACCTCAAGGTTGACTCAGCCTTCTCTCCATCTGAGATTGGTAAAATGAGAACCCTGATTGTTGGGGGCAATATGCTGACTCTGTAGACCACTTAGAGAGGGCTGTAAAGCACCGTGAAGTTGTATATAAGTCTAAGTGCTATTACTATTGCTATTAGGAGCTCTGGTGATGCAGTGGTTAAAGTGCAGTTTTGCAGGCAAACTCTGCCCACAGTCTGGAGTTAGATCCTGGCAGGGTTCAAGGTTGACTCAGCCTTCCAACTTTCCAAGGTCGGTAAAGTAAGGACTCAGATTGTTAGGGACAAGAGGCTGACTCTGTAAAACCGCTTAGAGAGGACTGTAAAGTACTATGAAGTAGTATATGTTTAAGTGCTATTGCTATCCCACGTCAAACTGTAGATCACATCGTGACTGGCTATACGCTGAGGGCACATACCAGTCCAATATCTGACTTTTTTTCATATAAACAGTGCTGTGCTTTAATGATTAAATGGCTTAGACATTGTTATCTGAAGATAAATCTTTGTAACATTCAAATGTTATTGTGATTTTTTTTTATCTAAGTGAAATGTTAACATATATTGGAAGCCTATGTATGATATGCCATAGGCTATATTTAAATAAACTTTGGGCCTGAAG